TGGTGGTGAAGGCTGGTGGCTGGCTGTAACTTGGTACCTGATAGCAATGACACATAAAATATTGTAGTCTAGACCCTCCAGTATTGTAACATTGGGGTACACCAGAGGGTCAGAATTTGGGGTAGACAACATGAAAGCATCAGGCTGGTGTTGGCGGTGTAACCGTGTAATTTTCTTGGCACACTTCAGGGCTAACCTAACCAGGACAACAACCAGGGATCTTCTAGCTGGTGCTAGCCACTGATCCACCTTGCAGCCCCTCCCTAAGTACCAACTGAGCATAATTTAAACCCCACAGCCTACCTGAGTATTGCTGCTCACCATTATAACTGCAGTGAACCCATCTACTGATGGTTACTTCCAGCAGGATAACTCACTGTGTCACAAAGCTCAAACCATCTCAAACTGGTTTCTTGAACGTGACAATGAATTCACTGTACTCCAATGGCCTCCACAGTCACCAGATCTCAATCCCATAGAGCACCTTTGTGGTGGAACGAGAGATTTGCACCATGGAGGTGACACTCACAAATCTACATCATGTCAATATGGAGCAACATCTTTGAGGAATGTTTCCAGCAGCTTGTTGAATCTATGCCATGAAGAATTAAAGAGGTTCTGAGAGGCAAAAGGGGGTCCCACATGATAGTAGCAAGGTGCACCTGATAAAGTAGCCAGTGAGAGTCTGTGTATGCATGCAGATCTGTGTTTTGTTTTGCCTGAGTTCAGCTCTGAGCCATGTTGGTGTTCCTTGCATCACAGCTTCCACCCACCAGATGTCCTCAGTCNAGACAGCAAGCGATGGCTGTTTGATGTATTTTGTACTTACTGATGTTAGTGTTAAAATTTTCCTCTTACATTTATTATATTCACATGACCACTGGCACCATGTAAATAAACTGACATTTAAAGGGTTCAAATACTGGAAATAAATCAAATTTTGTCAGGACTGATATTGGTTTAAAAAAAATACACTGTGTAAGTAGAAAATAATATTAATACAGAATATTTTTAGGGATGTGTTTTTTGTTTCTATGTGGGCATTGTCTTATGTTCAGTTTTTATATCAGAATAGCAGTAGAGCCCTCAAAAAAGCCTCTTGAGGAAATTATCTTGTGAAGTGTTGATTAATTAAAAATCATTATTCACTAGTAATTGATGATTATTGAATAATCACAATGGAAACGTCAACTAAAACCCCTGTTTATTAATCTGTGATTACTCTCTCCATTCTTTAAAAAGTGTAACATAAGTCTAAAGGCATATGTTTATATGCCATGTACCAATTTTGAGTGACTATCACTCAAAACTTGTGTCCCAGAGATTCATGTGGTGTGAAATGTGCGTATCAACCCCAGAACAAAAGCTAAAGACCTTATGAAGATGCTGCTGAAGCTGGCAAGAGAGTCATTATCCACAGTGAAACCAGTCGTGTATCATCATGGGCTGAAAGACTACTCAGAGAGGAAGAAGACATTACTCCAAAAGAAACCTAAAAAAAAAAGAGAATATGAGGAAACATTGAAGCAACATCTGAAGACATCAGCCAGGAAGTTAAAGTTTGGGCTCAAATGGGTCTTCCACATGGACAATGACCCAAAACATATCGCCACATTAGTTACAAAGAGGCTTCAGGACAACAAAGTCAATGTTGTGGCGTGGCCATCACAAAGCCCTGATCTCAATCCTGTAGAAAATTAGTGGGCAGAGCTGACAAAACATGTGGAGCAAGGCAGCCAACAAACCTGAATCAGTTCCACCAGTTCTGTCAGAAGGAATGGACCAGAATTTATTATACAGTTTATATATAAACTATTGTGAGAAGATTGTGGAAGGAAACCCAAAACATTTGACCAAAGTCATGATGTTTAAAGAGAATGCTACCAAATACTAAGGAAATGTATGAAAACTTCGGACTTTGAAGAAGGTAACAAAAAATTCTCTTTCTCATTATTCTGGCATTTAGTAAATAGAAATAATTTTGGTAATCCAAACTGACCTAAAACAGGAAAAGTTTAGTCACATTTAATATCAGATAGTGAGGAAAAAAAGGTTGTGTGTCTTAGCCTATGTAAACTTCTGGTTTCAGCTGTACATATGAGGTTATACAGACAGTCCCACAAGAAAAATCGGAATTAAAATTCACCCACAGAATTTGTTGCTTCAAATAAGACAAACACATTTGTTTTATTTCTCACTGAGGTGTTTGAACATCTGCATGTTCAAAACTGTCTGCAAACACGCTGCACATCTCATCTCACTGATGCTGTTCTGTGCCACATTAGTAAACTGTTGGATATTTCTACTTTTGTTTCTGTTGTCACTCTGCCAATATCTCCGGACTTTGCACAAGCCGTCTGGTTCACCTGCCAGCTCCAGTCCTCCACAACGCTGCTGGATTCCTCCCTCCACAAACACCGCTCACCACCTCACAGACTCCTACCTGCCCAGCTTGTAGCCTGGAGTTTGTCAGTGTGTTTTCACTCAGTTCTTGTGTTCTCTTTGGAGTTTTTTNCTGATTTAAATAATGGGATGACTTTGGCAATTTCCATTTTTTGAGGAAACAAACCAGTTGTGAATGATAAGTTAACACTTTTGATCAATGCTGTGTCAATTCCATTCCAGTCTGCTGATGGCTTAATGTTACACTTATTGACAATGTCTAAAATTTATTTTTCATCTACTGCTTGCAGGTACATTGAGTTGAGGTTTCTGGGGACATAATTTTCAGCCTCACCATAGCCATTTGGATCTATATTGTTAATTCCTGCAGCCAAACTTGGCCCTATATTATCAAAGAAGTTATTAAACCCATTAACCACATCATTTATATTATTTAAAGTCATATTATCATCAATGAAGTACTCAGGACAACCTCCGTGAGTTGAATCCTTTCTGATAATAGTGTTTAATATTTTCCATATGCCTTTAGTGTTACTCTTGCTATAGTCTAATAATTTGGTATAATAATCCTTTTTACAAGTCTTTATAATAATAACTAGCTTATTTTTATATATCTTATATTTACTTTCTGCCTCTCTGGTTCTATATTTTAAGAATTATCTGTAAAGAGTGCTCTTTTTTTTTTTCTTTCTTTTTTTTTTTTTTTACAGGCATTTTGGAGTCCTTTAGTGATCCATGGGTTGTTTGTGTGGGTTTGATTTAGCCTCTTACTGATTTGTTGAAGAGGGCAGTTTTTATCATATAGTGTCTTAAATGTACCCATGAATATATCATCAGATCGATATCTTTTTCTTTGTAAAGATTTCACCACTTCTGTTTCAGTAAGTCATTTTTAAAAGCAGTTATGGATTCCTCTGAACTAATTCTCCTGTGTCTAATTTTATGATGATTCTTCTCTTTCCCACACTCACAGTCATGAATCACAAATACCAGCAAGTGGTCACTCATATTATTCATGAGCAGTCCTCACACTAAACTGCTTTACATGCAATTAGTGAATATATTATCTATTAAGGTGGCACTGTACGTTGTTGTCCTGCTTGGTTTTATAATTAATGGGAACAAACTCAAGCTATACATTGTGCTAATGAATTCATCAGTTGAACTGTGTTGGTTTGGGTTAAGTAAACCTATACTGAAGTCCCCACATATGTATGTGATCTTGTGGGTTTTACTGGCAAATAGTTTCTCTTTACTATTTGAAAAAGACTCAGTGCTTGATCCTGGCGTTCTATACACACAACTGACGAGCACATTTTTTGTTTTTCCATATGAATCTCTACAGTTACACACTCAAATAGATCTTCAATAGCAGTTGACATGCTGGTTATCACCTGATGTTGTCGGCTATTTCTAAATGGGTTAGTGAATTGATCTAAATAATCTTTAATGCCTTGGAAGCTTGTGTAAAGACTCCTGCTATTGATATGAATAATGGGCAGACCATGGTTTAACCTTACATTTAATTTAAATTGTTCTTNCAGACTTAAAGTCCATTGAGCTGGTTTGGGATGAACTAGACAGAAGAGTGAAAACCAAGCAGCCTACAAGTGCCACACAGTTATGAAAACTTCTACAACAGACTTGGGAAGAACTTTCTGAACAGTATTTGATTTCTGTTGTAGAAAGAATGCCACGAGTGTGTTCAGCTGTTATATCTGCCAAAGGTGACTACTTTGATGAGTCAAAAGTTTGGAATATATTTTGGTCTATAAATTGATTCTATGATTAATTTTTCAACTACAATTGCTTGTTTGTTCTATGCTTTCATTTCAGAATGCAATGACACAATAAACTGAATAATTTTCAGTAAAAAATTGGAAAAAGTGTGGTGTTCTAAAACTTTTGACCGGTAGTGTATGTTACACTTTTTAAAGAATGGAGAGAGTAATCACAGATTAATAAACAGGGGTTTTAGTTTGTGTTTCCATTGTGATTATTCAATAATCATCAATTACTAGTGAATAATGATTTTTAATTAATCAACACTTCACAAGATAATTTCCTCAAGAGGCTATTTTGAGGGCTCTACTGCTATTCTGATATAAAAATTAAACATAAGACAACACCCACATAAGACAACGCCCACAAAGAAACAAAAAACGCATCCCTAAAAATATTCTATATTGATATTATTTTCTATTACACAGTGTATTTTTTTAACCAATTCAGTCCTGACAAAATTTGATTTATTTCCAGTATTTGAACCCTTTAAATGTCAGTTTATTTACATGGTGCCAGTGGTCATGTGAATATAATAAATGTAAGAGGAAAATTTTAACACTAACATCAGTAAGTACAAAATACATCAAACAGCCATCGCTTGCTGTCTGTCTCTCTCTCTCTTTCTCTCTCTCTCTNCTATCAATGGGTGGCAATCTCCTGGTCTCTTCCCACAGAGTCTCCAGAATCGATTTTTCTTCTTCCCTCCTTTTTCTTTAATTTGCTATAAGAAAATTAAGATAAACAGAGAATCAATACATGCAGAAAGACACTTTCCTCTACAGAACAGGCCAACACAAGACAATCAAAGCTACCTGCAGAGGACTTCTCCGATCAGCAGGCTGTTGTAGTTCACACTGATCACCTCTCCTGCAGAGCTTGACTCCAGACGGCTTCTCTGGTTCTGACTTGATCTTGATTAGAGATGGTAGAGTTGGAGGTGGGCGCTAAAACGTAGGCGAGGGATAATCAGCCAAATGTCATCCATGTCAAAATTTTGACTGTAAAATTTTGATCTGTACTGTCTAAACAAGACAAAAAGGCTTCTTACTTTGAGTGAGCTGCATCCTCCTCGTTTTCTCGCGCAGAATCTCCTGACTCTGATCTTCGACTCTGCCCCTTGTGTTTCTTTCACTCGCTATGAGAAAATCAAGATCAAAAGAGTATTAATACATGCAGAAAGACACTTTCCTCTACAGAACAGGCCAACACAAGACAATCAAAGCTACCTGCAGACGACTTATCAGATCAGCAGGCTGTTGTCGTTGACACTGATCACCTCTCCTGCAGAGCTTGACTCCAGACGGCTTCTTCGGTCCTGACTTGATTAGAGATGGTAGAGTTGGAGGTGGGCGCTAAAACGTAGGAGAGGGAGATAATCAGCCAAATGTCATCCATGTCAAAATTTTGACTGTAAAATTTTGATCTGTACTGTCTAAACAAGACAAAAAGGCTTCTTACTCTGAATGAGCTGCATCCTCCTCGTTTCCTCCCGCAGAATCTCCTGACTCTGATCTTCGACTCTGCCCCTTCTGTTTCGTTCACTTGCTATGAGAAAACCAAGATCAAAAGACTATCAAAACATGCAGAAAAACACTTTCCTCTACAGAACAGGCCAACACAAGACAATCAAAGCTACCTGCAGGCTTCTTATCAGATCAGAAAGTTGCTGTAGTTGATCCTGATCATCTCTCAGCAGAGCGGCTTCATGAGCAGCAGTGAAGGCTGTGGTGAGCAGGACGACCTGCAGACACAACAGGACCAGCAGCAGAACTTTGCCCATGATGAACTGAAGAGTCTGAAACCAACAGGTCTTTATATAGTCACTGCCAACCAACCACTTGCATGTGAACAAAGAGGAAGTAGAAAAATTGCCGACACTTTGCTTCATCAAGACGTCAGAGAAATTGCATGTACACACAAAAAAGACAGAAAAAATGGTAAAAAAAACAAAAAAACAAAAACAAAAACAAAACAAAAAAACATCAATAAAAATACATAGACTAACGCAAGCAAAGAATATAAAAATGCACATTAAAAAGCAGTACAAATCCAGATATAAAGAAACTAGACAATGCAAATACAAATATATACATATTGTGAAGCAGTGTTTTGTAGAAGTTACAGCAGTTTACTGTCCATTCTCTCAAGTATAATATGGAAACATGGAATCACACAAAAGTAAAGAAGACACTCAGCGGACACTTTATTAGCTACATCTGTTCAACTGCTTGTTAACCAAATATCTAATCAGCCAACCGCATGGCTGCAATTCACTGCACTCAGGCATGTAGACATGGTCCAGACGACCTGCACAAGTTCAAACCGAGCATCAGAATGGAGAAGAAATGTGTTTAAGTGACTCTGAATGCAGCAAGTTGTTGGAACCAGACAGGCTGGTCTGACTTTTTTTTTTTTAAAAAACTGCTCCTCTACTGGGATTTTCATGCACAACCGGATTTACAAAGAATTGTCTGAAAAAGAGAAAATAATCAGTCCTGTGGGAGAAAATGCTTTGTTGGCGTCAGAGTTCAGAGGAGAATGGTCAGACTGGTTTAAATGACAGAATGGCAACAGTAACTCAAAAAACCACTGGTTACAACCAAGGCAAGCAGAAGACCATCTCTGAACACACAACACGTCAAACCTTGAAGCAGATGTTCTACAGCAGCAGGACCCCACACAGGCCGCACTGTAAAGTCTAACACGTTGTTTCAACTTAAAATTGTAAGTGAAAGAGCTGCCTTAAAATTTTGAGCAAAGTAAAAAAATAAATGTTATCTCGAATAAATATCTCATGTTGTGGAAACCATTGTTAGTTTAGTTGACATGTATTTGGTATATATGTATCTTAGGGTAGCCATTTCAACTTGCAAATCTATTTTAAGTTATTTAAAATTTTATTGAACTTATCCAGCATTTCTTTGAACTTAAGTACCCATTTCAACCTAACTAATATGGCATGTTGTCTTAAGTTTGTCTTAGTACATTCAATTTAAGTTTTTACATTTACTCAACTCCACTTCTAGTTGTTTAAAGTAGAAAATCTATCACACTGGCTATTTAACCTAATCATTCCAAATTGTGTTAAGCAAAGCCCAATTAAAAAGATCAATTAAAACTGATTTAACAAAATAAATGTTACAGTAACCTATAGATAACTAGGGCAAGTTAGTTTTCAAGAGACACATGACAACCACCAACTAACATCCAATCAATGTCACATTTTTTGGTACACGTCTTACCAACAGTCATGACTTCCTGCATAAAATGTACTTGAAAACATCAATGTGACCAATACTGCCCTTGAAGAGAACAAGTGGCTTCACATGCTCACCTGGTTGTCACCATAAAACTGAAAATGCTGTCAGGGGACAGCCATAGACATCAACAAAGGCATTTGCATCTGACACTGGGCCATATTTGAACAGATCAAGTTTCACAACTTAAACCAGTTCAAGTATAAATGTGCAGGTCTTTCCTCAACTGCTTTTGTCCTCAATATCAAACGTTGCAATAAAACTGAAAAATGCTAAGATAGCAAAAAGTAAATCGTAACATCATCGTCCTGCGTCCTGCCCATACCACTTAGTGGTCTGAATATAAACCATGAAAAAAAAACTTGACCTAACATTTCTCATGTCCAGTCTAAAACAATTCCACAGGACTTAACTGTTAAAACTGCTGTAAGGCTGGGTACTGAATATTTCAAACACTTTTTAATGTCTGTTGGTAGCTTGGACCAATGCACAATGTGAAAACAGGAGAATTTGCCAACTAGCAAATATGCAAAACAGATAGCAAAACAAGAACTTCAATATTAGAGTTTCAACTCTGAGGCACATGAAGTCTTCAGAGCACAGTCTTACATGGTTTCCCACAGGAGTCTGTTTCTTAAAACATGCACAAGTGAGAAACACTGTCCTCCACCAACGTTCATCAGGACCTTCTGAATGGCTTTGAATGTGTACAAAAGTTGCTTTAGATAGTCCATGTTTAGAACAAAATAAAGACCCATCAGCATGGCGATCAGGATGTCCTTCAGATCAGAGAGGACCACCAACATGTCAATGATGTCTTCTCCCTCTTTCACCATCACAGTACCAACCTTCATTCCCTTGGTAGATGTGTTCTCATCCTTAGTGGCCTACACAGGAAGCCGAAGGAAGCTGGGAGGTTTCTGTCTAAGGCTCGATCCAAAAATGCAAACACCGAGATAGGGAGTGAAAACAAGAGGGATTTATTAGTGCAACAGCAGGGAATCCAGGGACACCAGGGAGCTTGTGAAGGTAGCCGAGGGGGCGAGGGAAATCCTGGGAAGTTTCCTGGGGGAGCCGTGAGGAGAGACGACAGAGGCTGGTTCTGCAGGCAGAGCTGAGCGGGGGGAGCGAGGTTCAGCAAGAGGTTCTGGCAAGCAAAAGATGAGAACACACATGAGACAAAGTAAGGTTCAACAAAGTACAAAGCTCTCTAGCACTGCTGGCTTGTTACCAGACTGAGGTGATTAATCCGCTCGCGCTGGAGCACAGGTGGAGGCAGGCTTTATCCAGCATTGATTACACTGGTCTACATCCATTTGGTGTCAAAGTTTTTTGAGCTGATATTGGACAATTGCAATGTGCTGAATCCAAATATTGCATTGGTTTTGCTCGAAGAGGTCAAAATTTTGATTTTGATGAAACATGCAATTTACTTGTATTTACCTTTACAAATGTTTACACTCATCAACTTGTGGATCATTTAGCTTATGAAAAGGATTAGAAAATGAATTTTTTCCTCTAAAATCCGATTTCATATGAGAAATACTAAAATAAATCAATCGCTAATGTCAAAAAATGTAATCGATTTAGTGGTAAAATCGATTTTTTAAAATCGAGTTGGCATAAAAACCTGACCTGATACAGATAAACAGATGTCATTTTTGGATTCAGCGTTGCAAAAATGTCTTAAATCAGTTAAAAAATCCTAGACACCTTCAAAAAAGTACTTTTTTTTTGTCACCCAGTGTTATCAACTGGCGTCAGGTGTGGAGGAGAGTGAGTGAAGTTTCTCCTCGTCAGGAAAAAACCCCACCCAGCCTGCAAATCAATAACTGCCACAGCAACCACAACCAAACACCAAAAAACACCATTCTATAAGCACAAAAAACTCAGATCACCACAGAAGCAAAAATATTTTCATCCATCTTAGTTCTAGTATTTATGTACACACACATACACATAATCACAGTTTAAAGTAAAAACGGTTAGGAAAGGATACATCTTGATTGCAATTTCTATTTGTTCAAGGGACAAAAAATTGTTGACCGACCAACCACTCAAAAAAATCCTTGTGATAAAAATATTTAACAATACTTACCTCCACAGTCTTGAAAAAACAAGAGGGGTCCACCTTTAGAAAACAAGGAGGGCCCAGCAGAAGAACCATCCTCTTCTTCTGTGTGGAGCTCTAATTAAAAACAACAAAAACAGAATAAATACCAGTTATTGTTTCCATCATCTGCTTAGACAGTTAAATTTTCCTTCAGGATTTTCGTAAAATGTTATCACACGACTATCAATAAACATAACTAATGTGATCAATATTATCATTTGGTCAGGACAATTAAAACATCCATCCATTATCTATACACCGCTTAATCCTCACTAGGGTCACAGCGGGGCTGGAGCCTATCCCAGCTGATTTAAGGCAAAGGCAGGGGACACCATGGACAGGTCACCAGTCTATCACAGGGCTACACTTAGAGACAGACAACCAAGCACACTCACATTCACACCTATGGACAATTTAGAATCACCAAT